GTTATAAAATAAAATTTAAAACTTATTCATATCGCATTTTATTCTTGTTTACAACAATTAACAAAATAATCTTACAACTATCTAATATATTAAATTGTTCATTATTATTATCATCCTGATATTCACTTTCATCACTTTTATTTTCAGCATAATATTGATTGATACTTATTTCATCATTGATATTTTTTTGACAATTTTTTTTAATTATCTGAAGGTATTTGTAATTTATAATTACTATAAATATAAACTAATTTAAAATGCACTTATTATTTAACCAATTTCTTTTTTTATTATGAATATTTGCAAAAGCTGACCAGTTACATTCAGAAGCTGCAGATAATGTTGGAATTGTTAAGATATATCATACTAATTGTGTTAATTCAGATACTACTTGTACAAAATTTGCAATTCACCAAGTAATTAAATCAATATTATCAATGCACTCCCATGCTAATGTATTATTAAAAAGATCTGATTTTGCTTTGTATTACATAAGTTAACTTCTAATAATAATTTTATTATCAGAATAATAATTATTAATAAAAGTTAGACTTTCATTCATGCCATCATTTGGTAATCATCTTCTAAAAAAGTGTGGATCTAATAAATGAGCAACCAGTATAATTGGATTATAAATTTTTTCTCATCTTGCAGTTAATATTTCATCTATTTGTATTACTATTGATAAATTTGAAATAGCTAACAAAATTATAAATATAATTATTAATTAATATTAATTTTAATATATTATAATATTTAATAACTCACCTTTTAAATTTTCTAAAACTTCATACCATTTACAAAAATAAGAAAGTTTTGAAGTATCACTTTCAAAAATTGTAATTCTTTTAGTAATTTCTTCAAGAATTACAAGAAGTTCTGTAGCTTCTTTCCAAAAATCTTCATTTAATATATTATTTTTAATTGATTCATTTATTATTATATTTGAATTAGTTAAAATTCATGAGTAGCTAATCCAAGAGTCAACTGATTTGTTTTAAGTGATATAAGACAAGCTGCACTAGATTCTCATTAAGTTTTTGCTGAAAGTTTAAGTGTATTTTCATAAGTTATTTTTTGATATTATTTTAAAATTACTGCTGAAATATGATGAGATTTAAAACATTTAACTATTTCTTTAACTTTTGATATTATATTTTTTGTCCAATTAAGTTTCATAATATCCTTAATTAATAAATTGAGTGGATGTGCTAAATATCTGATGAAAATAACATTTAGATACTTGATAGCTAAAATTCTCCAGGCAGACTTTATTACTGAAGTATTATCTATAATTACAGCTGATAATTTTCCTGTATCAATTATACTTATTATTTTATTCATATCTGCAGAAATATTTATTGCATTTTGTTCAGTTTCACCTATAGGTTTAGCTAAAATAAATACTGGTGTTGGTGTAGTTAAAATGAAATTAGATCAATATTTCTGAATAATATTCAATCTATAATTATAACATCACAAATAAGACAACATATTCAGCATTATTTATATAATTTTCTACTTAATGAAGTATATCAAGATACTAAAAATAAAGTAAATGATTTGATATTTTTTTTATGTGATGGAAGCTTTACCACATCTGAAAATAGCTTCTGCAAATGTTTTTTCATTTTTCTCTTGCTCAGAATGTGAAATTCTATCAATAAAATTATTGATATTGCCATTTTGTATATTTGTACATTTCATAATTGTTGATTATTAATTGCATTTGTTGGACTAGTAATTGTATTGATATTTGAACTAATTGCATTGATAGAATCAGTATTTGATATTGTATTGATATTTAATTGTGTGTTTCCTGTAGATGAATTAGCATTGAGCAAACTTGTATTAGCAATTTCTGGATTTCCATAGCTCATTTAACTTCACACTGCATTACCTACCACCAAATACAACAGCACATTTGCAACCATGTGATGCGGGAATAATCCATTCTTTCAAGGTAAATAATTTTTTTAATGTGGATAGTTTTAATCTTTTTTTAAATATCGACAGCTTTTATGTAAGAATAGAGTGGATGCATACGATGAATATATTAGTACAGGCATGCCTGTACCTGATCTCACAATCTTTGACGCAATACACTTTACGGCAGAAGCATGAAATCTTGCAAAGCCCGCTACGATCATATCATGCTGGACTAAAACTGGCATACTTCCATCAAATAATGCCAGCATTCGCAATTTTCTCAATGATAATAATGAAGAAATCGTTCAACAATTGATTAATCATCTTCCGATTGAAGATCCTTTGACGGCCAGTGAATACATAACCTTTGACGATTTATTACGAACTGAAGATATATTGAATGACGAGGAAATTATTGCTTTGGTTCAAGGTCTTGAAATTGCTGATGATTTTTCAGAAATACCAGAACAAGAGGTAACGCCTACTGAAGCAGTAATATCGATTGATAAACTTTTGTTATATCTAATGCAAAAAGAGGAGGGTTTTAATATTAGTGGAAGTTTTTTGAATGAATTGAAAACTATAAAAAAAAAGATACATAGAGTAAGCATTGAATCAAAGATTCAAACGCGAATTGATGATTTTTTTATAGCGAAATAAAAGTTTATATTTGTCTTTACCTCGTTAATCCGGCTATTATCGTTATTTTATTATTATCTTCGGTTTAAAAAGGTTCCTCGCTAATCCGAAGACCTCGTTAAACCGAAGAAAAATCACTGTACGGACACCTTCGGTTTAACGAGGTTGCCTTTGTATACTAGAGCATGGTATGATTTGAAAAAATAATATAACCAAATATTGAAGCTCTTCTTACAGCAAAAACTTAACTTTGTCTCTTGAATTATACTATACACATCCAGACTTCAATCGTAATGCTTTCAATAAATTATGCATATTTACAGCTAATCAATTGTAGTGATGGGACTACTGCACTGCAATATGTCATGGGTGTAGTAAATGTTTCGATTTCAAGAAGTTACTGCGATGATTCAGATCACAAATTTTTGAAAGATTTCGAATATCTTGATCTATAAAGCATTTTTGCACGACTACGCGATGTAGTATTTTACGATTCAATTTATAATAAATATAATGAACGCGAAATTGCGTTTGAAAATCATTGCGAAATTACTTCCGAGTTATAAACGTGGTAAAAAAGTAATCTTGACTATCTCTTCTAAACGTAAAACCACAACTTATGACAGACATTTTACTCCAATAATATCTACTTTTTTTTCACCTCAATAATGTATACTTTAAAATCATTCGATCTGATAAATTGCTGTCGAAATCTTGAATTGGATCATTAGAAAGCAATAGTTATAATACCATTAAGAAATAATAAATAAAAAAACTTACAGCAGATTCTTTCCATACATCAAATAAGAAAAATAATAATAGTGTGCACAGCGATGACGATATTGAAAGCCAGCGTTGACCAAATGCATTTATTACAGTAGTAAATAATTTAATTTCGCAAGTCACTTTATAAATGCTTTTGATATTTATTTCAGTTTATTTAAAACATCAAGCATAGATTTATATGCGTCGAGTATTTCATTGTTTAATTCTTTCCTCGGTAATCCTATTTGTTTGTCATCACATTTTAATATTTGTCGATGCAGATTTTTGAGATATAGAGGCGTCACGTGAGAAATGCTGTTAAATTCACATCGTTATGATTGAAATATAAATAAATACATGTATCTTGACAATTGGCATTTAAAAATTATTATTTTTTCTAACCTTAAAGTTAGCCTCTCGCTCGACAAAACATTACCTTTTTGTTTTGTAAATGACGAGGAAGAGCTGTATCCGTTTATTGTGCTGTTTTTTTGTTTTACTTTCTCCTCTTCCGCTATCAATGATGTTGATTTTGATGTTGATGAAAATGATGGTAAACTGGGTAACGAATCTGAAGAATCATTATTTTTGTTGTTTTGTGAATAATAATCAGTATCGTCATCATCGATGTTTGACATTTGAGAAATAATCAACGCTTTATCAATAATACCGATACGTATGGTGAATAGCGTAATGTGACAAACGTTGGTTGGGTGATAAAACAAAACATAGTGATGAGGATCGTCAATTAATACATGAAGTGCATGTGATTAAATGCTAATTTTGTGAATTAAATACAATTTGACTGAAATTAATATTGTTTTTTCCATTGGACTCACCATAAAATTTAATCGCCGATTACAGGCCAGGTTTACCAGTATGTACATGTACACGTATAACGTTCCCTGTGAATTTTTGTTAGATGTTTGATGATGTATGACTTAATTTTTGTTTCAAGTCAATTTTTCGCAATAGAATTAATATCTGCCATTTTTTGCATTACATGTACCATGGTAAAAAAAGACAGAGTGTGCACTTAGGTAAAGTATACACTAAGTTGGGACCAAGCCATGCAGTGAATTTAGAGTGTTATTGTTATAGAGAGGTTATTTAAGGGGAATTCTCTTTCTTCATCGTAACTGAGGATTTTAGTTATTCCGTAATATCTTAAATGGAAACCAATAGCGATATCAAAAATATTACTGCATTTAAAAGTAGTCTGAATATATTTCAGAAACATAAAGCAATTCTCACTTCAGAAATCTTCATTTTTTACTAGTTCATGACTCCGAAATAATTTGTTTTAAATTATGTATTTCACGCAATTTCAATTTTTTTACTTTGTTAAAATTTATTTTCTTTATGATTCCATTTGTAAGTTTTGTGCATGTTCTTCCATAATTTCCTTTGCAAGCTATTCAACATTGTTAAATCTTCCAAGAGGAGTCTATTCGAATAATTGATTTCGTTGCATTCTTTTATTAGAACATTCAATATTTAAAATATTCAGAGCAGCTAAATTTTTTTTTGATTAAAGTAAATTTACTACGTCATGAGTATTTGATCCCATTTGTTTATATCGATATAAAACAAACGCTAAATATTGGACTAATTCTATCATTCCACCCACCCAAAAGAAAGAGTTTACAAATATGGTCACAGCTCTAGATTGCACAAAGCAGTACGGTAACTTTTAATTCAGATTATTGTGACAAAATGGTTTCAATACCGTATAAGCGAAAAATAATGCCCGGGTCTAAGGCCGTAGTATTTCGTGCCTTCTGTATAAAGCTGGCCGAATCAACCGGATATGCATAATTTTTACTCTATTATTGATTCCAAAGTGAAAATTTTCTGTGTTCTACAATATTTTCCTTGCGAGATTTTTACTTTATATCTTATCTTAATTCCGACTCTAACCCTAATAATCATAACCATACTCGAAATATTATTACTAATTATGTTCCATGATTTGATTGGTTTACATCACGGGTCTGAAAAAGCGTTGTTAGAGTCGGTCTTCATTTTATTACTATTTCAACAATATCAAAGATTTACTGTATTATCTATCAATCATGTTTTTATTATTAAAGAATAGTTGGCTCAATTATTGGGCAATTCAACATCGATTTTGGTTGTTTTATAATTAATCAATGAAAGTAGAGAAGAATACGTAAAATTTTGTTAGAGTCGCGCGTCGGATATTGAATTAAATTTAATTGATAAGTTATTTATATTGAGATATCAAATAATTAAAAAAAAGCAAAGTCATATTTAAATTATTGGGTTCTCAGAAATTGCTATTCCGATTCACTGATAAATCCAGATTACTTTGAGTAAGCAATCCAGTGTTTGTTTTTGGTTTCTCTTGCATAATAAGAAAATTATTATAGCTACAAGCAAAACCGTGAGAATCGATTCGACTATGGAAAAAGCCAGTGCATTCTTTTTGTAAAAATCATCAGAACTTGAACCTTGAGATGATAGGCTTGAATTTACTCCTGAAGTAGATGAAGTGACAAATTCATCAACCCATGTATAATCTTTCTGTGATAAATCCAAGACTTTGATAACATTTCGATTAGGATTCTTTGTTTTAAAATTTTCTTAAATTAAAAATAAATAATAAAATTAGTATTTATTATTAATTAAATATGTATATATAATTTTATAAGAATTACCTAAGCATACAATCATATAATTATTATATACGACAAGTTGATACATCGTCAATGCTAGGCCTGTTTTTCGTTGCAAGTTCTGAAAATTCGAAAGTTTGCAAGTCTAAAGTAATCAAATAATCAAGCGGAACTCCTGAATGATTTGAAATTGAGCCACCATATAGGATAATGCTTTGATTATTGTGTACAATTAATTAGTTATGATTTATTAGAATAATTTTTACCATTATAAAAATCAAAACATTTATTGTTATCTTACCTAGAGCAGGCAGCTGAATGAGCATAACGGTTACTAATATTTGTATTATTTGTCGCATTCTTTAATTTAACAAAAATAATTATTGATTTATTATTCAGACAAATTATTCAGAAAGCTCACTTTTTATAGTCCATGGATTATTATTTATATTGAGGGTATCATATATCAGAACTATAAAAGAAAGGTTTTTAAACATTGTATTTGCCTTTATCGAAAAAAAAAGATACTAAAATTCTGAATAAAATGCAATACCTCGTGAATGTCAACACATTATGGTCTGGGATATTTGCAAAAATGCTACCAATAAAATAAATTCTGTCATCCTTGTAAGTCACTGAATAACTTGATCTTTGCGTGGAACATAAGAATTAATTCGGCTCCATGTTGATATAAAATTGTCAAATACGTACATGGCTTGATCTTTCGCAAGAGTTTCTCACCCCAAACATAAAGTTTTCTTTTATCTTCAAAATTTGAACTGAGAGCGCAGCGCGCGCTTGGTAAAGTATCATCGGATTTAATAGACGAAATTGAATAAGTTATTACATCAATTTGATAAAAGCTGTTTACATAACCCCCTTTAGTCCAATCATCATCTTGATTTCGGCTATCGATAACGTTTAAAAATTAATTGAAAAGTCAATCACATTCATTGTATACTTATACTTACGATTAATCCACCAAAAGCATATATTAACGAGCTTTTTGTTATTTTTAAGCGCACTAAAAGCAGTATAGTCAAACGTCGGCGCATTGAGAAGATTTTCGATTCTGATGAATGATGGTTTTGATGTGGTCCAATTTACAGATAAATCTAAAGAAATAGCATTAGACTATTAAAGTCAGCACTATCGAAGGATATAATTTTGTCATCGATAAATGTTCCATATTCTGGGCATATTAAATATTTAGGTGAGTAGGCTGATTACGCATTCATTATCGTAATTAAAAAAGTTAAATAAATTAATGGAAACAAGACCGTATTTATGTTTTTAGGTTTATAAGCAGATGGAATTAAAGCTATGGTTTAAATGACATTTCACGAGACCTGAGATCACGTGTAATCATGGGGAAGTTACTACGGGTACATGTGGGTATTCAGGGACACAGAAAAATCCCGTTGTGATTTTGAAAAAAATTCCATTTTATTCCGAAATTGAATTTTATTAATTATTTTATAATCGTAGGTGCAAGATTCTTACAAAGATTTTGCTAAAATTGTTACAAGCATCAAAACTACTATATGATGAAATTGGTAACTAAATATATTTCACTAATTAATATGAATTTTGAAAAATCAATTCAATTTCATTTTAAATTAAATTGTCCATTTTTGTAAAAGTTCATAGATGTAATATTATTAAGTGTCGAATTTGACGTTTGTTGTATTATTTGTGTTTTTCTTTAATTTTTAAGATTTGCATTTATATGCGAAATAATAGTTGCTGTATGTTCTCATTTAGCTGAATGACTACAAACCGACATACATGAAATAAAATTCCATTATCATAACAAAAGTCTTCATAAAAATCTCGTGCACAACTATATGCCGTTCATTTTTGTTTAGTAGGCATTTTTCATAATAGGTATTTTTCATAAATAAATGCGATAATTTTTGTTCAAATGAAATAGCGATAATTATTCAACAATCTATAAAACTAATTTGTAGCACACATATTTATAAAAATTTCTCCTTATACCGATTTATTCCATTTTATTCCGTCTTGTTTCAAAATTCCATTTTATATACCAATTTTATTCCATTTCATCCCGTTTTTGTTTTATACCGACATCTATATATCAGAATTTTCAGGGTCTCCAGTTGGGATACAAATACCACGAACAATCACAATTTATAGACAATGAATGGAGTGGGAGTAAGAATAGATATAGAAAGACGAATCATTCTTTTTAAGAAAAATGTATAATTTAGATAATAAAATAAAAATGGAAAATTTTATATTTTACTAATTATATCGAATAAATAATAAACATCTTTAATCTCAAAAACTATCGTAAATAAGTTATTCCACGTAGCTGTTACAATAATACCAACCGAAAAGAATTTAATAAACCTTATGCGCCTTGTATTGGCGAGTGGTTCGGCCGAAGCTTGGATCACGAGATTGAGACCCGTAAAAGAAACATAGATATTACCAGTGCGGATCACCTGATCGAACAGTCACCAGTTAGATTGCGTCCTGTAACAAACAACATTTCATGTACAGTCGCCTCAAAAAGTAACGCCCGATTTGTATGTGTAACAACATAGGTAAATATATGCGTCGCGTTTTCC